CTCAGCCTCTGTCTTCACATGGCTTCCCTTCCTGGTTCTTTATATCTTCTTTTCTGTCTCTCATAAAGATACTCATCATTGAATTCAGGGCCCACCCTAATCCAGGATGATCTCATCTTGAGATCATTATCTTAATTACACCTGCAAAGACCCTTATTCCAAATAAGGTCCCATTCTGAGGTTCCAGGCAGATATAACTTTGTGGGAGCCACTATTCAACCTGTGACAGACACCCTGTGGAAAAAGACCTCCAGTCTTCTGGACTATCTCAGCCATCCAAAATGAGGCCAAAGAGGACATGAACAGACACTTCACCAAAGACGACATTCAGCCAGCTAACAAACACATGAAGAATGTTCATGATCATTAGACAGATGCAAATCAAGACAGCAATGTGATATCATCTCACTCCAGCACTAAATAACAAAGTTCAAAAAGACAAAAACAACAAATGCTGGAAAGGGTGTGGAAAGACTAGAAACCTCTTACTTTGCTGGTGGGACTGTAAAATGTAAAATGGTACAACTGTGGAAAATGGTACAGTGCTTCCTTAAAAAATGGAAATAGAAATAAGGTATGATTCAGCAATCCCATTACTAGGTATATAACCAAACCAAACTCACTGCCATTGAGTCGGACCTGACTCATAGCGACCCCACCTTGGGTTTCTGAGGCAGTATCACTACGGAAGTAAATTGCCCAACCTTCCTTCTGAGGAGTGGCTGGTGGGTTTGAACCTCCAGCCTCTGGTTAGCAGTCAAATGCCTTAGGCACTACACCACCAGAGGGAAAGTTTAAAAAGAAAACAAAAAAACTATGAGTACTGTTGATATGAAAACCTAGGAAAAAAATGAAAAAAATAGACTAGGCAATACTGTTGTGACAAACAGCCCTGAGGTGCCAGAAGCTACGACATCAGATATTTATTTCTTGCTCTTAGCTGCATTTCTGTTCCATATTATCTCAACTTGGGACCCAGACTGATAGGGAAAATTCTGTCTAAAGCATTGCTGGTTGTCATGGCAGAGGGAAAAGAGAGCAAGGTGAAACTCCTCTGGCCACTACAAAGCAAAAAAAAAAAAA